ACCATCAGTGTCTCAGAACGAACTGTCTGATAAGTCATGTGTACTTCTTGCTGGTAAGTTAGTGGGATGCCTTTAGGGAACGCTCCAAGTAACTTTGAAGACAAACTACTCTGGACCAACTGTCTCCAATGAAATTGAATTGTCATTAGAATTCATAGTGTGGTAGGGTCTACAAGGTCTGGTTGTTGTACATGCATGGGGTTTTGTCATTTGGACTTCAAGGCAACTGAGACAAACCAATGATGCACTTTTAACAGTTTTTGTTTCTGGTAACAACCCTTGAAACGAAGGTAGGAATTCGTAAAAGTTCTGAATTAATAATATATAATTTATAATGTGTTTAACATCTGCGTTGTAGAGTACCGAATAAAACATATGTAAGCCTAGTGGTCTAGAATGCTTTAACGGCAGGGCGTTTTAAGCTGGTACTCTATGTGTCCTGAAACAGCTCCATGTTATAATTCAGGCACATACTGAACTGCTCAGAAATATCAATTAAATCATCCACTATTTTTTTCGAAATCATAAATGCATGGATATTATTATACGTCATGAGACAGTTTGTGGGGGCTCATCCCTCGTCCTGCTACTCGCGACAGTCATTATCAAGCTTTAATGCTGAAAAACTTGTGTTTTAGGAAATTAAATATATAAAATTGTATTATATCATTTGAAACGCACATGACATATTTTAATCAGAATTATGTGAATCTTTCAAGTTGACCATATTAACGTTTCTCTCATACACAATTTGTTCCTAACGTGTCAAATTTCTTATGAAAAAACATTCCTTGTCTCAACATGGTTAACTTCGATGCTGGCGGCCAATTTGCAAAGGGACGTAAACATGTTTGTACGTATACGGCAAACCAAATTTGTACCTTCTTCGCCTCGTTTTGAATCTCGTTATGAATCGTCATGAGTAATGTTAATACGAAACGTTCTTCTCATATGCTGGAAGGAGTCCTGATATAAAAACACTCCGTGTTATGCATTTTGAATAATAAATAAAAGCGATAAAAACATGTCAACATTCATAAGAAATCTCTGCGAACCCGACTGTATCATGAGCATGTGATTATGAATCACTATCACATAGTGAGGATACCAGGTTTTTCCCCAAAAGGTGAGCGTTTCCTGCGCCATCGGTGGCCCCCATCACAAACACATGCAAGGGCAAGTTAATTGATCACCTGAACAAACAAAGGGACATACGATACAAGTCAAAATAGAGAACAATATCGGACATGATTTTTGTCACTGATGCGTAAAATTTAGACATGTCCACCATTAAACGTTTTGAAAGCTTCACTGAGAGTTTGAACAACTTCTGAGCAAGAGTCAAATGTGAAGGAGCATACTCGATTGTACCTCAAAAGTGAAATATAGACATCAAAGGCTGGGTGAGCTGGTGAATTGCTCGACTTAAAGGGAAAGTTGAGTGTTGAAAAGTGGTTACCATCCTTCTTTTCACACAGTCTTGTTGAGAGTGTTGACCACTCTGATCTTTATGAGGTGGTGAGGTGAAATGGGGTTTAACGTCGCGTCCAAGAATATAACGACGTGCATGCACGTGTATCTATGTGTGTGGCTGCTTGTACTAGTCCGGACTGATGCCGATTTTATAGTGCTAGCTCACTGAGATACCATGCCGCAGTTTAACATGAATACCCCACTCAGACACAGTATACTGACTCCGAGCCGACCAGTCCTTGTTTTATCCCCTTAATGCCGAGCGCCAGACAGGGTAACAACAAGTACCATCTTTTAACGTCTTTTGGTATGACGCGGTCGGGGATCGAACCCCGGACCTTCCTCTCTCCGGGCGAACGCTCTACCACTAGACTACGGAGGCGGTCCTGATCTTTATGAATTGATCTCGACATGAAACAGACGAGGCGGTCTCCTTTAAATGCTCTTCATCATGCTGTTTTGTTACAACCCACTCTTAAACCGCGTAGCAATTTTTGATAGGCTCGATACTTTATAGTCTGAGAATGATGAATACAAAGGCGTGCTTGTTCATCCTTCACTTCACCCAGACAGTGACTGGGTAGGACAAGTTGGAAATCAATCGTGTTTGAATTATCACTACTTTAATTGATATGCAAGTGCGAAAGGGGGAACGAATATTATGTTGTATTCTGTCTTTGTATCTCAGTATGGATTCGATCAAATTAATATTTTACATTAACAGAATCAACAACTTGCGATAAGAAAGGGAAACTGTTTTATAAGGCTTCATAACACCATAGTTCTGTCCCTAGCAATGGTGGTAGTAATGGGCATTTAAATGGATCGTGTAGTCATGCTTAATTGACTTAATTGATTGCATCGTAACCCGCTGGTGTGGGACGTTGTTCCTTATATCAATCACTGGGTTGTCTGGTCCAGACTCGATTATTTACAGACCGCCTTCATACAGCTGGAATATTGATGGGTGTGGCATTAAACAACGAACAAACACACATCAGTCAGTGATAGGCAGACGGGTAATAATGATCAGGAAAAGGGAACGTCTCCGGGTTTGAAGATCAGCAACACAGCATGCACACCTAGCACATGGGAGTCGAAACCAACTGTTCCCTATGAACCTCTCATGCGTGGAGTTTTATTCTCTATTTGTACGTTTGTTGTACGCCGCGCCCAGCAATATCCCAGCTATATGACGAGGGTATTTATAACATCATGTATGGATCAGGCAAACCAGTGACTGACATCATGAGCATCGATCTAAGCATTTGGTAAAAGGTGACAAGCATCATCCACGCCAACGAGTCTGATCACCCGATCTCGTTAATCGCCTCTTACGACAATGGATGTGCTGAATGAGTTGTAATGATTGTTGAAACTAACGATTTGTTGCAATTATCCACGGGCCGATGGCGTCACATCGATGGTGAGTTAACTTGTTAGCAGTTAATATCGATGTATAATAGATGCTATAAAAGGAAGACATAAATTATTTACCGTTTCTTAAATACATTTTTTCGGAACTGTCGCAATGGATGGGAAACGAGTGACGATACGTAGGGTATAGATGGGAAACAAGTGGCTTTGTGTAGGGTAGGGATGGAAAACAAGTGACGACGTATAGGGTATTGATAGGAAACAAGTGACGACCTGTAGGGTATGGATAAGAAACAAGTGACGGTGTGTAGGGTAGGGATGGGAAACAAGTGACGATGTTTAGTGTGGGGATGGGAAACAAGTGACGATGTGTAGGGTAGGGATGGGAAACAAGAGACGATGTGTAGGGTAGCGAAGGGAAAGTGATAGTGTGTAGAGTGGGGATAGGAAATAAGTGACGATGTGTTGTGTGAGATGGGAAACAAGTGACAATGTGTAGGATAGGGATGGGAAACAAGTAACGATGTGTAGGGATTGGAAACAAGTGACGATGTGAAGAGGGTAGGGATGGGAAACAAGTGACAATGTGTAGGATAGGGACGGGAAACAAGTGACGATGTGTAGGGTAGGGATAGGAAACAAGTGACGATGTGTAGTGTGGGGATGGGAAACAAGTGACGATGTGTAGTGTGGGGATGGGAAACAAGTGACAATGTGTAGTGTGGGGATGGGAGACAAGTGACGATGTGAAGTGTGGGGATAGGAGACAAGTGACAATGTGTAGTGTGGGGATAGGAGACAAGTGACGATGTGTAGTGTGGGGATGGGAGACGAGCGACAATGTGTAGTGTGGGGATAGGAGACAAGTGACAATGTGTAGTGTGGGGATGGGAAACAAGTGACGATGTGTAGTGTGGGGATGGGAGACGAGTGACGATGTGTAGGGTGGGGATAGGAATGGGGGGAAAGTGACAATGTGTAGTGTGGGGATGGGAAACAAGTGACAATGTGTAGTGTGGGAATGGGATGGGGGAAAAGTAACAATGTGTAGTGAGGGAAGGGACAAAGTACATGTAGCAATGTGTAGTGTGTGATGGCAAAAAAGTAACAATGTGTAATGAGGGATGGGAAAAGGTAACAATGTGTAGTGTGTAATGGGGAAAAAAACCAATATGGAGTTAGGGATGGTAAAAAGTATCAATGTGTATTATTGGATTGGAAAAAGTAACAATGTTTAGTGTGGGATTGGAAAAAGTAACAATGTGTAGTGTGGGATGAGAAAAGGTAACAATGTGGAGTAAGGGAAGGGAAAAAGTAGCAATGTGTAGTGAGTGAGTGAGAATGGTTTTACGCCGCTTTTAGCAATATTCCAGCAATATCACGGCGGGGGACACCAGAAATGGGCTTTACACATTGTACCCATGTCGGGAATCGAACCCGGGTCTTCGGCATGACGAGCGAATGCTTTAACTATGAGGCTACCCGACCGCCCCACCAATGTGTAGTGAGTGATGGGAGAAAAGTAACATTGTGTAGTGTGTAATTGGAAAAAATAACAATGTGTAGTTTTGGATTGGGACAATGTGTAAAAAGGAATGGGGAAAAAGTAACAATGTGTAGTGTGGGATGAGAAAAACTAATAATGTGTAGTGAGGGAAGGGAAAAGGTAACAATGTGTAGTGGGGGATGAGAAAAAGTGACAATGTGTAGTGAGGGATGAGAAAAAGTAACAATGTGTAGTGAGGGATGAGAAAAAGTGACAATGTGTAGTGAGGGATGAGAAGAAGTGACAATGTGTAGTGAGGGATGAGAAAAAGTGACAATGTGTAGTGAGGGATGGGAAAAAGTGACAATGTTTAGTGAGAGATGGGAAAAAGTAACAATGTGTAGTGAGGGATGGGAAAAAGTAACAATGTGTAGTGAGGGATTAGAAAAAGTAACAATGTGTAGTGAGGGATGGGAAAAAGTAACAATGTGTAGTGTGGGATGGGAAACACGTGAGAATGTTTGGGGACATGGCCTGGCATGACACGTGGAGTATGCAGTTCACTTATACACGCTTGTTATTTCGTAGAAACTCGAGAAGCCGAATGGCGACTACCAATATATACCTATAACAAGATAACCTTACCAAGATAATGATAGTTCAGTTCAGTTCAGTTCAGTTTATTGTATACGAGGCCTTTGGATCAAACACAATGCTGCATACTGAAGGTAAGGGCAATACAGACATATAAAATAAGACCATCAGACATAACGTTAACTGATTAAGTTATCGATAATAGATAATAGAGTTTTTCATCAACAGATAATGGCTTTCGCAAATTACAAGTAAATTGAAAGTACAGTAAACTACGTTTATAACGAACACGCTTATACCGAACAGACGGATATAACGAACTGTTTGGAGGTCCCGTCCATTTGCTGTAATTAAGCTGAATATGTACCTGTAACGAATTGCGGTTATAACAAGCTAAACAAAGTGGTTTCTTTTAGTTCGTTATAACCGTAGTTTACTGTACAACTATATATGACGCCTCACACGTATGTTACTGAAGCACAAACGTTTCTACACAGCCTTTTCATAGACATAGCCCATCATATGTCTGTAACAGTTACTAGAATGCCAGCTGTTGGAGAGGCTCGGGTCCCAGAAGGCCAGACATTGTTGGGCTGCACTATCAACGTCCGGTTCTTCCAGAATATGGGCTCATCAAGTGAAGTTTGGCACCTTTTTCTGAACCAGCCATGGGTATGATTCTGTCTCAATAAGGATCAAAATCAGGACAATTATTGTCAGGACGAATTTGGGATTCGAACAGACGATCAGCGAATCCCAGCATCACTGAAGGACGCAACAGCATTCCTTCAGTTTTGTTTAGCGTTAAGTTAAGATTATGCCAGTCACATAGTCAGGGGGATAATCCAAACATCCCACAAGAATATTAAATAGTAGATCACTTAAATGTGTGTCAGCAACTGTCTACATCGCTAGTTCACAGACGAAGGGTAGTTGGTGGCTGCATGCACCGGTGTGCCAGCTGTTGGGAAGGCTCGGTTCAAAGAAGGCCAGACATTTGTCGGTTTCAAGAAAATCTGGTTCCCCGGGGCTCCAGAATGTGGGCTCAACAATTGAAGAGTTGTCTCCCCATCTCCATGATGATCCCAGTATATTCCCGCTCGTCCAAAACGGCCCTGTGATAGAAATGAGTTTGATGAACATTGCTTAATGTTAGTTTTTGACAAAGCACTTACAACTGTCAGTTGCAGAAACTCGACAGGAATACTGCAAGGTCAGGTCTCCTGTTTTCACTTCATTTCATTGATAGGGAACTCTGTTTTATTCTGTCCTAATATCAGTCAATTCCTTTGCCTGGTTGCCATGATATACACGTGTAGATGGAAATGCTTTTCGCTCCAGTATGTAAAAAGTTCACTCACTCACTCATATACTTGATCTAACAAAGATCCAATCTGTAATGCATATTAGTCAAATAATTTTGTGAGTGTTCCCTATGACCTACCTATATCTGCAGCAATGTCGTACATGAATTGGTTCCGTTCAGCGCTGTTGATGATGACGAGGTAGCTGCCCACTGCTGAGCATGCTGGTGTGGCGTCGGTCAATTTTGTAAATTCGGTGTTCTTCTTGTAACACATGTTCAGTCTCCGGCTGTACAGATACCCTGACTTGACTGGGCAAGGAGCTGGAATTAATGAGTGAGTGAGTGAGTATGGTTAAACGCCGCTTTTAGCAATATTCCAGCAATATCACGGCGGGGGACACCAGAAATGGGCTTCACACATTATACCCATGTCGGGAATCGAACCCGGTTCTTCGGCATGACGAGCGAACGCTTTAACCACTTGGCTACCCGACCACCCCTGGAATAAATGACGATCTGTGACACGACTTGTGTAGAACACTAACGTGACGTGACATAAAAAAGGGATGTAGAACACTGACGTTTCTGGCATAGGAGACAAGTGTAGAACACTGACATGACGTGACATAAGAGACAGGTGTAGAACACTGGCATGAATAGGCATAAGAGACAGGTGTAGAACAATGACATGAATAGGCATAAGTGAGGTGTAGAACACTGACGTGACGTGACATAAGAGGCAGGTGTAGAACACTGACATGACGTGACATAAGAGACAGGTGTAGAACACTGACTTGACGTGACGTAACATAAGAGACAGGTGTAGAACACTGACGTGACGTGGCATAAGAGACAAGTGTAGAAGACTGACATGACGTAACATAAGAGACAGGTGTAGAACACTGACTTGACGTAACATAGGAGACAGGTGTAGAACACTGACGTGACGTTACATCAGAGAGGTGTAGAACACTGACATAACGTGACATAAGAGAGGTGTAGAACACTGGCATGAATAGGCATAAGAGACAGGTGTAGAACAATGACATGAATAGGCATAAGTGAGGTGTAGAACACTGACGTGACGTGACATAAGAGGCAGGTGTAGAACACTGACATGACGTGACATAAGAGACAGGTGTAGAACACTGACTTGACGTGACGTAACATAAGAGACAGGTGTAGAACACTGACGTGACGTGGCATAAGAGACAAGTGTAGAAGACGGACATGACGTAACATAAGAGACAGGTGTAGAACACTGACTTGACGTAACATAGGAGACAGGTGTAGAACACTGACGTGACGTTACATCAGAGAGGTGTAGAACACTGACATAACGTGACAAGAGACAAGTGTAGAACACTGACATGACGTGACATAAGAGAGGTGTAGAACACTGGCATGAATAGGCATAAGAGACAGGTGTAGAACAATGACATGAATAGGCATAAGTGAGGTGTAGAACACTGACGTGACGTGACATAAGAGTCAGGTGTAGAACACTGACATGACGTGACATAAGAGACAGGTGTAGAACACTGACTTGACGTGACGTAACATAAGAGACAGGTGTAGAACACTGACGTGACGTGGCATAAGAGACAAGTGTAGAAGACTGACATGACGTAACATAAGAGACAGGTGTAGAAGACTGACATGACGTAACATAAGAGACAGGTGTAGAACACTGACGTGACGTGACATAGGAGACAGGTGTAGAACACTGACTTGACGTAACATAGGAGACAGGTGTAGAACACTGACGTGACGTGACATCAGAGAGGTGTAGAACACTGACATAACGTGACATAAGAGACAGGTGTAGAACTCTGGCATGAATAGGCATAAGAGACAGGTGTAGAACACTGACTTGACGTGACGTAACATAAGAGACAGGTGTAGAGAACACTGACATAACGTGACATAAGAGACAGGTGTAGAACACTGACGTGTGACAAAGACAGGCCAGATTCGAACACGCCGTTAACATTAGGAGAAGAGAGAGCGGTTTTACAGTCGATCGAGTCGAACCCGATCGTTCTAAGCTACCCTCTCAGTGACGAGCCTGACCGGTCTGATCCAGGGTATTGATAGACGGACTCAGGTGTGGTAACGTTATGTGAGTATAAAGCCTTGTGTTGCGTTAATTATTGTATATGTGTATGCCAGCATATGAATGGGATAAGTAAGAGCAACGGTAGTGAAATGACGCCTCACTCCTTAACTAAGTGAAACTCCAATGACCAGGCGGGTTGCAGGGTCATGGCTAAACTGGCCATGACGACACGGAACGGCAATACGTTTAGGTAACTGTAGTAGGGTCCCCCTTGACGCCCTTGCGGAGTTACGACAATATTGCCAAGCAAGCACACAGACACACGCACACACACATACACGCACACACGCACACACAGACACACACACACACATATACACACACCAAGGCCGTAGTTAACTTTTAAAGGGGGGCAAATAAGATTATGCATTTTTTATTCAAGTTAACTTTCACTAGTAATCGTTGATCGTTCATACCGAGCGTATGCAAGGCTGCAGGTTGCATTGTGTTCAGTATATTTACTTTCGGATGTTGGACGATGATGTGATTTGGGCAGATAAAGTAAATCAGTCTCGACCATCTACCGAAACAGATCCCATTTGGGCGCATAAGGCAAAATAGTTGTAAACATTAAATGAATGGGTCACTGAAAATCAGTGATGATATTTAGAAATCCCTTCATTCGTCAAGACCAAATTGGCCTGTTGATATAACGGGATATTTAAGATTCTTAGAAAGACATAATTTGTAATTCGGTGAGTTGATTTTGATTGTTGTGTATTTAGCTAAAAGCTACACCAGACATTACATGAAAATTGAATATTCAACCCATATGCATCTAAAAGGGTAGACAGACGCCTTAATTGATTAATTGATAACTGGAAAGACTTACACATATCTCAGGTTCCATCATTCTGAGGTAACAGACTATACCCCTTTAGAGGGAAGTTACACACTCTATCCTTGTGAGCTGTTGGATTCTATCCTTTTCAATATGATGCTGCAGATTCTGTCCACAATCGAGGGAATTTACGGGTTGAATCCTTCTTAGGATAGGAGGATGTCATTAGTTATGACTAGAAATATAATGAAGACTTAAAAAAAAGTTGTAACTAATTACCAGTCGACAGCTATTAAAACTGTTTAAACCCTAGCTTTAAATGAACCTTATTAAAAGTTAAACTGTATTCAAACAATAAACTATTAGACGAACAAATGAACCTAAACATAGATTTACATTGTACGTGAATAATTAATGGAATCGTGGTGATTCTTTCATCTTTCAAACAATTACATTGAAATGCGATCAATTTTCAGAAAACAATCCGAGAGGACAAGTATTAAGCATTTGTCCCCAAAAAGCACACAGGCAGTCCCCGACATGTTAATGCATTTGTTTTAAACATATTTATTTCACAGAATGTGTGAGGCTGGATTGGTAAACAAGTAAAGACATGTCAAGATCGCTCCAGCTCTCATACAAATGTAATCAATTATAACGTTCAGTCAAAGGTAAATAATGAGGTTGTTATTGTGCAAATTAAATAACAGTTGTCGACTATGAAAACGCTGAAGAAAAACGCAGAAAACAGTTATATGAGAGATTAAAGGATATGAAATTATGAACTTATTTTAGTATTTCTTAATTAATCTTTGCTGTAACATTTGCATTTCCATAAAGAATAGATATTATATCATAACCTTTAGAGAAAAAAGACATGTTTCTTCTTATGCTAGAGTAGTTGCTACAGAAAAGGAAATAGTGAAACGCATCTTCATGGTGGTAGCCAGAATCATTTTATATTTGTCAGCATAGAAGTCACTACAGCCAAAGCGACAGTGCACAATTTCGTTGCGCCTAGAGCCATAACTTAAGTCAATTTTGTTGCAATGCTTTTCATCACCTTTTATCATTCTTTTAAAATCCTTCATTGTACTAGCTTCGGTAAATGCAATTGGAAAGGTTTTCCAGACTTAGACTGTATGAATAAGAAACGATTTTGCATTGCTTGGTGTTCTGTTATTTAGAGTCTGTAATTTAGAAATATTCGTAAGTTTGTAGTCATGAGTTTCTGACACTTAAGGTTGGACGAAATCAGTTAGGTGCAGGGTTTTTGAACATTTTGTAAAAGGTAGTTAATTTGGTTTAATTGCTTCTTTCAATGAGAGGCATGTGCTTTGTTTCGGCATGTATTTTGCAGTGACTAGTACCACGAACCGCCCCACATATTGTCCTAAGCGCATCTAAGTTTAGTTTTTCAAGCATCAGCGAGTTTATCATAAGACTAACTTTATGAACTATTTCACTGATATCCTAAGCCCAAGAGCAATCGTGTTGGAGAATAATTCCTATATGTTTGTGGTTTAGGATAAGGAGTTATTATACGCGTGAACTGAATAGATTCGGTCTTGTTTGGCTTGCATTTAACTTGTCAGTTGTCCGCCAAAGTAGAAATTCTACTTAAGTCAGTATATAGGTAGTTTCCTGCAATAGTCGGGTCTTAAACAATTCTGTCTATTGACGTGTCATCTGCAAAAAGTCTGATATTACTGCCAATACCTGCCGCAATATCATTTACAGTATATAAATAAGCAACAATAGAGGCCCCAATACTGATCCTTGTGGTACTCCAGCCATCACTGGCCTTTCATTAGAACTCTAACTGTGATTAGTTACCTTCTGAACTCTGTTTTCTAAACAACTCTTGAACCATTTTAATAATTTCCCACTGATGCCACAAGGGTTAAGTTTGTGTATGATACCCTTGTCCCAAACATTAACATTTCACACACGATGTCTATTGCATATCATAGGTCTTCATGGACTTTTTTTAGCTAGAACGATCCCCATACACGAGTTTCATTTCCTTGAAAAACAACTTTCTTGGTGAAAGATCACAAATCTTACCTTTACTCAACACCAGGTGTTCAATGGGCTCGGAGGTGGCAACCAGCTGTGTCTGTTTGAAGCCTTCCATCAGATGACAAGACTTGGTTTCCTTGTTGTAGAACATTGTGGTACAGTATGCACTGAGGAAACACAGAGAGACACAGTCTGCCCTGGACAAGGCAGGGGTCGCTGGGGGTAGGGACGGGGGCATCTGACCAGTAGATAACGAGGACACGGTCATTTCAGAACATCCCATGTTGTTTACTGATATGATGATCAGGGGTTGTCACAGATAGGGTCCTTTATTAAATCTCGTTCTCACCGTAGAGAGGTAATCCTGAAGCAAATACAGGCATGAATTCAGTAACACCATCGAGGATGCTGACAGAACTTGGACACAAGTAATTACATTTAGTACTAACTACAAAATGACTTTATCGCGCGTATTGGCTAATTACGCCCGTAACCTAATCACCCCTTGTAACTGAATCACCCCCGGGTCAGCACCCTGCACCGTGACCAGGGCAATAATCCTACACAAGCATCATCCCCACTTTGTTACATATAGTCCACAATTCACGCACCGTCTCTCTTTAAGTACACACAGGTTTCGCTGTATCTAATCGCTTTCCCACCCACCCGCCCAGCTCGCCACTCCTTTTCTTTCCTTTTCATCCGGTATGTGTCCTCCTCACCTGGAATTCTAATCACTTTTTTTCTTCCGCGTTCTTCTATTACAGGTACCAGCAGAGCAGATTTTATGAATGTAAATAAACCTGTACATATGTAAAATAGGTTTTCAGGGCGCTTGTTTATATGTAAATGGCTACCTTTTAAATGATTCTGATATTTGTAAATAAACATGACTTCTAAATAGCTGTATATATGTATATATGTGAATAACTGTCTCAACAATAAACTATGTCGAGGTGTGTGGGGTCCTTGTGGGCTACACTGCTGGTAACAAATTAACTTGCTTCCAAATTAATACTCGTGCATAAGGCTACCTGCTTTTCAGTGGGAACCTTTCCGGGGTTACCTGCTTCTCAGTGGGAACCTTGTCTTTCCCGACTTTTCAGCCGGGGAATCGTCAAATAACTTATGTTGGGCAACCAATTTCCACGAATATGGGCCGGGCGGCGGAAGTCGTCTTGTCAAGCGGTAGCTGACAGTTGGGTCCGCGGCGGTAGTCGCGACAATGGTTTTACTAATGGGACCAGGCAGTGGTATCTGCTTTGGCCGGCTACCTGGAGCCGGGCAGCGGTAGTCTGACTTAGGCCAGCAGCGGTAGCTGCTTTCGGTAGTAAGGTAGTTGCCAAACAATGGTAGCGTTTAAATATGCTACCGTGGAAGCCAGACAGCAGTAGCGGTGGCCATGGCAACGGTAGCATTTTGGTATACACAATTAGCAGCTTAGTAGCCCACTAGTACCCACACACCCTCGGCCATTTAATCCAATCTCATCTTGTGTTTTATTACAGGCACGGGCATCCACAGTTTGGTGGCCCGTGACTCTCCGTGGCATATCGCGTGATAATATATGTCTATCGTTGGTTCAGTGTCGGATTTCACTCGACCCTAAATCCTTTATACGGAAAAGCACTACTGCTTCATATATGAGTAGGCATATGGCATATGAAATAATTACTACTCTATAAAATCAAGGTATTAAACACAAATAATTTACAGAGCAGTCGGTTTAATGTGAAACTGCAGTTGCATCCTGACAGTAGGGGTGACACTAATGATCATGCATTATAACTGCCTATAACTGCCCAAACTGCTAGGAATAGTCTGAACGATATGTTGCCATTTCACACAACCCCATTTAAATTCTTGAAGGATATACAACGGGAAATTGTCGGATCCTTTGAGAACCAAGAACCTACATTGTAAAAATGTATAATCTTCAACAATTCAACATAAATGCAAAGTATCCCACTGCAGTATTAAAATATCACTGGGACCATTGTACAAATTCAGCGAAAACATAACATCGAATTATGTTAACTCGTCAGCACATTACCAAGATATTCATGAATGCATGTTCTCAAAATGATAAAAAGTCTGGAGATTGGTTCAAATTCCAAATGCATCCTACTCTCAATACCTTAACGTCATCGATGTAGGACGCACACAGTAATACACTTATATTCACTGAATTTTTACTTCTTACCAAACTGGGTTAAAGTTTCTGAATAGGTAGCCAGTGTATATTCAAATATGATAATATATAACAATAAACAACATATTATAACACATTGAGGAAACGTCATACATACGTTTATCTGTACCAATGTCTTGTCTGGTTGGGTCCGCCTGAGTGAAGTGAGCTGATTTCGGTGTGAGCATTGATTATAATCCTCTTGTAATCTGTCTGAACAACACACCGTGGAAATCAATAACTACTTTAAATATAAAAAGTCAACGCTAGAGAATAATCAGTCCATTAGACGTAAAGGCAAAATAGTGGTGAAGTGTATATGAATATATCACATACGATCAGTGATAACACCAGGTGTTCGTAAGGTCTAGCACCCGCCGCTCACACCATTTCCAAAAGAAACTTAGTGTTTGTTTGTTTGTTTGTTTGTTTCCTATCGCCGTACAGCAATTGTCCTGTCACTCTTGCACTCTGGCAGTGTGGGTTCGAATCCCGGACGGGACTCACCCCCCAAAAGTACGAGAATCTGTACTTTACCCAGAAAGTGTTATCCCAAATATAACATTCTCTGCTTCAGGATTATACCAATGAAGATCTCAATATGATGTTCAAGAAAATGCCTGAAGAAAAGTTGAAAGAGAAACTTTCAGTTCACAAGTCTCCCCACAACTGTGAGTTGGTGAAAACGAGCACAGTCAACCCAGAAATCTGGACTAAGCTCATATCACAAGAATGGTCAAATGACATAAAGATGCAGAAATTCCAAGCTCCTGTCCTTGTGCCATTGCTACACCTGGCCAGCGACCTGCTAAAAGTTAAGAACAAGGAAATGTCAGTGCAGCAATTAGACATCAAACAACTGGCGAAACAGGCCACTGATGCCATTAGCCTGCTCGCTCACTTGAACACAGAGCTAAACTACCGCCGACGGGAAATGATCAGACCACATCTCAATAAGCAATTCCAGCAGTTGTGTTCACCTCAGACGCCTATGTCTACCCTGCTGTTTGGAGACAACTTGGCGGAAACGATCAAGTCAATGAGTATGACCAACAACTCACCTACAGTCAGCAGCGCCCGGCGCCTAACCACAAGCCGTTTACTGCATACAAGACTCCCTCTTGTGCAACCAGCTGTAACCATGGCAACCCGGTGAGAGGAAGGTTTTTTTTAGACAGGAGTCGCCCCTTCCACAAGAAGAAATTCGAAGGGGGAGGCACTAACTGGTACCCCAAGAGAGGTGAGCACTTTCAACATACCAAACAATGTATTTGTTGCGGGTAGACTACGATTTCACTTTCAGAGCTGGCAAGAACTATCTTCAGACCCGTTTATCTTGCTGACTGTAACTGGTTCTTACATAGACTTTACTTCGTTGCCCGTCCAGTCGCATATTCCCAAAGAAATTAGGTTCTCACCCAAAAAGCATTTCATCATAGGTGGCGAAATCGCTAAACTTTTAGCTAAGGGAGTTATCGTTCCATCACGTCGTGAACATGGTGAATACATATCCACAATCTTCATTAGACTTAAGAAAAATGCGACATACAGACTTATCCTGAATCTGAAGCAACTAAATGGAAGTGTAGACTATGTCCATTTCAAGATGGAGAGCCTTACAGCTGCCCTCTCATTAGTGCGTAAGGACTGTTACATGGCATCGATAGATTTGAAAGATGCCTACTACACTGTGCCTGTTCATCCAAATCATCAGGAATACCTTAAATTCTTCTGGAAAGGTCAGCTATACCAGTTTACTGTTCTGCAAAACGGACTTAGTCGTGCTCCTAGATACTTCACAAAATTACTTAGAGTGCCGTTTTCATTTCTGAGAACACGGGGACATACTAATGTCGGATACATTGATGATTCGTTCACCGTTGGTGATGATAAGAAAGAATGTTCAACGTTTGTTTGGGAAACTGCTGCCTTTTTCACCAAACTAGGCTTTGTTTTACACCCTGAAAAATCGGTACTGTCACCTACACAGGAAATCACTTTTCTTGGTTTTGTCATCAACTCGTCATCAATGACCGTTTCTCCAGTTCCATCTAAAGCTCAGTTCGTGAAACAAGCTTGTGAAGCATTACTCAAGAAACAGTTGTGTTCGATCCGGGAACTAGCCGTGGTGATTGGTTACATGGTAGCGTGCTTTCACGGAGTTCGATTAGGCCCCCTTAACTGCCGTCGCCTTGACAACGGCAAGACACACGCTCTTCGAAACGCGAAAGGCAATTTTGACAAGGTATTGGAAGTCACCACGGCTGATCTACAATGGTGGGTAGATAATGTGTGTACAAGTAGCGAGCCGATAAGTGTCGCACCTCCGGTAATTACCCTGACCTCTGACGCGTCAGACACCGGGTGGGGTAGGGCCCGCGGGAAACAGTCCACCGGCGGCTGATGGTCACGTGATGAAACCGTTAAACATATTAACTACCTTGAGTTACTTGAGGCCTTCATGACACTGCGGACATTCTGTTGCCTAGAATCCAGCTGTCATGTGAAACAAATGATTGACAATACCACGGCCGTGTGCTTGCCATGTTCCGGGTAAAGACAATGTGATTGCGGATCAAGAATCTAGAATACTGAAAGACAGCATCCTGAATGCAGTGATAAAGAAAGTGGAAGAAGACCAAGCCAGAGGACAACCAGTGGCCCCAGTGTGGCCCACACAACCATGGTTCTCCCGACTCCTCAGACTCCTCATCCATCCACCAGTCATACTACCACCAGTCTCTCAGATCCCACGCCTTCCACGCAACAAGGAGGCGAGACACTCTCTCGACAGAATGAAACTTGCAGTGTTTCCCTTATCAGGCTATCTCTTACACGGAGAAGAGTTTCGGACAGAGCTGCCAGTGTTATCCTTCAATCCTGGCGCAAATCCACTAGACACCAGTACTCCACATACATCAAGAGATGGGTTGCGTTTTGTAATCAAAGGGAAATTGATACGCTGTGTCCATCTGTGACCGAGGTGTTAGATTTTCTGACAGAGCTCTATGAGTTACACAACCTTCGTTACAGTGCACTTAACACAGCCAGATCCGCTCTGTCCTGTGTTATATCAGCAGATAACGTTACCATTGGATCTCATCCTCTCATTAACCGCTTCATGAAGGGAGTTTTTCAGACTCGCCCCTCACTGCCCAGAAACTCAGTGACGTGGGGTACCAGTGTAGTTCTACATTATCTAAAAACATTGATGCCTTTGAAGGAACTGTCTTTGAAAGATTTGACACTTAAAACTGTGACTTTGATCGCGCTATTGTCAGGGCAGAGACTGCAAACTGTTCATCTATTAGATGTTAGAGATATTAGCTTGTTAAGTAGTTGCTGTAAGTTCAGAGTTGGTAGCCTGATCAAACAGTCGATACCTGGGTCGCACCAGGCGGAGATCACTCTGCCGGCATACACGCCGAATAGTAGTCTGTGTATCGTTAGGGTGTTACAGGAATACCTTGTCAGAACAGCTCCCATGCGGAACGGTGACAATCAGCTTTACATTAGCTACACACAGCCGCATAGGGCTGTAAGTAAAGATACCGTGGCACGCTGGATCAAGCAGGTGCTTCAGTTGAGTGGCATAGACATGAATACGTTCACGCCACACAGTACTAGAATGGCGTCGACTAGTGCCGCGTTACGACATTCTGTGCCGCTTCAGACTATACTGAAAACGGCAGGGTGGAGTAGTGCTGCGACTTTCTCCAAGTTCTACAACAAACCAGTGACTGACAATACGTTCGCATTGGCCATCCTCCACAATAACTGAACTATTAAACAAATAATCATAGAGACTCGTCACATTCCAAGGACTTGGAAGTAGAAGTACATAGACTTGGGTTACGGCTTGGAATATGGAACTCTAGGGGTTTTATCAAAAATGAAAAAAATTATGATGCTTTTAATTTCAATTGTTATATTTTAAATGTTTTAAAATGTGATATTGTTGGTGTTTGTGAGACTTTTTGAAAAGGTAAAGAAGTAATAGAAATAGAAAATTATGAATGGTATGGTCAAAATAGATCTGGTTTACATTCTCGTGCAAAATGAGGCTCCGGTGGTGTTGGTTTCTTGGTGAATAGTAAGCTTGTCCCATACACTGAACAATTGAGTGACTTTAATACAGAAGGAATTCTGTGGATTAAGCTCCGAAGACAGCATCAACCAGATATCTATTTATGCGTTTGCTATTTACCTTCTCATGGAACCAGTAGATTAATTGATTGTGATAGTTTTTTCCTAGAATTGCAACAACAATTTTATACTTACCAAAATAAGGGATTAATCTATATTTGTGGAGATTTCAACGCGAGGTGTGGCAGTTTACAAGATATCATCGAAGGTGTTGATGAAGTAGAATTAAGAGAAATAATTGATCCCTGTGTCAATTCCAATGGAGAAAGTATGATTAACTTTTTGTGAGGAAGTGGATTATGCATGGTCAATGGACGAGTTGGATATCAAGATTACACATACATCAGTGGTCAAGGTAGTTCTGTCGTGGATTATGTTTTAACACCCTATGAACAATTGAATTTTGTTGGAGATTTCAAAGTACATAAGATCACAGACATAATAAACAGACATAATCTTTCACCACCTATCTCATTACCAGATCACTCTGTGATAACCTGGCAACTCCAAGTCAATCTGAATGTGGCTACCGGAAATAAAGACTCTAAACAGAATACTATACCTACACCAAATGAACCTTACATTAGATATGATGTGAGCAAGGTACCACAAGATTTTATGTTGAACAATGAAACGGTGAATTCTCTTCATGCATGGATTAAAAACCTTGAGGAGTGTAATACACAACAAAGAGACATTAATGATATGTATGATATATTCTTAAGAGCCCTTAGAGAAGAAATGAACGCTAAACTAGATCACAGGACAATATATCACAATAGAGAACAACACAAGACTAATAAATCAAGAAAGAAAGCATACTGGTGCGAGGAGCTACAGACGCTATGGAATCTTGCTTGCAGGAAAGAGAAATTATGGACAAAATGTAAAGGCTCCAGTGCTTTTAGGAGACATTTAAGAGAAGAATTCTGTCAAGTTAGAAAACAATTTGATAAATGTCACAGGAAACACAAAAGAACTTATCAGAAACAAAAGCAGGAAGAATTAACCAAGTCACTGAATAATCCTACACTATTCTGGAAAAATATTGGAAAGCTGGGAATACTAAAAAGAAGGGAGACCATTGATCCCGAATACAGTATTAAATGATGATGACACACTTCTGGTTGACCACAAAGATGTGATGGAAAGGTGGAGAGACGATTTCTGCACTATATATAATCCAAGGGAGGACAACTCTACTAACATTATAAACAACATTAATCACCTATACAATGAAGAGTTGAATACAATCCCAACTGCTGTAGATTCTGAAGTTCTTAATCAACCCATTAGTGAACAAGAAGTTTGTGAAGCTGTTAAGCATACTAAACTGAACAAAACTTCAGGAATAGACAATATTAAAGCAGAAATTCTTAAGAATTCAGTGAGTGTGAATTTATTACATAAAATGTTTAACATTATGTTTAAAACTGGACTTGTGCCTGAACTTTGGAAAACAGGAATTATTAATCCAATTCCAAAATCTGGAAAGGGCGATCCGAGAGTACCAACAAATTACACAGGCATTACATTACTATGTGTACCATATAAAATATATGCAAAAGTTATTAATAACAGAATCAGTAACTGGTTAGAAACCAACAGTTATTTAACAGAACTGCAGAATGGATTCCGTAAGAGACGATCCTGTCAAGATCATTTACAGTCCTTAACAAATTATACAACAGAAAGATGTCGAGGCTCTCAACATTTGTGTGTTTCATTGATATGAAAAAGGCTTTTGACTCTGTACAAAGAAATTTACTTTGGTTCAAACTGAAACAATAATTTGTAATTCAAGGAATTATACTGAAATGTTGTGTAAAGGTCAATACAGAAAGAACTGATTGGTTTGATGTCTCCATGGGTGTGAAACAAGGCTGCTGTTTGTCGCCAACTTTATTTTCAATGTTCATAAATGACTTGGCAGATAAAATCAGTGACCTGAAATGTGGTATTAATATTGATAACTTGAACATTTTACTATTTCTGTATGCTGATCATATTGTGCTCATAGCTCCGGATGAATATAACATGCAGAAGCTTCTTAATGGTCTCGCTGACTGGTCTAAACATTGGAAACTTGCAGTAAACAAAGAGAAAACAAAGATTATGCATCGCTGATCTGCACCTATCCCAATGGGAACTTACCAGTTTACTTGTGGTGAAATCAATATTGATTACTGTATGGAATACAGGTATCTTGGCATGTGGCTGAATGAGCATTGTAATTACAAAAGACTGTGACTGAAATTTGTAAATAAGCAAATAGAGCCCTTGGGGCTGTGCTAGCCAAGTTCAACAACATGGGTGGTTTAAGTCATGAAGTGTTTACTAAATTGTTTGACAGCTATGTTTAACCTGTCCTCAACTACAGCGCCAGTGTGTGGGGTATGAACACTTATAAAGAAATTAACCATAAAGAAAACAAAGCCTGTCGATTTTTCCTGGGTGTTCGGAAAAATAGCTCAAATATTGCTTTACGAGGTGATATGGGATGGATATTCACAGGTGGTCAGTAAGGCGGGAATCATCAGTTGGGACTACAGGGTTATGGTCATGGTTAAAAAGCTTGCTATCACCAATAGAGGCCAGACTGTATATGATTACTGTAATAACACAAGCCGGCCAGTGTTCCTTGATTAAGCATTGCAGGAGCTGGATAAGAAAGACAGAGAGAAGTGGTATTCAGATCTATTTAATGATAAAAATAATTCAAATGGAAACAAGTTAAGAACTTATAGATTATTTCAACAAGAAATTGAAACATGCCATTATGTTAAAATGTCTCTACCAAGGCAATATAGAAGTGTATTAGCATCATTGCGTTGTGGTAACCTGCCAATTAATATTGAATGTGGAAGATATACCAAGCCCATCACTCCTCTTTCAGAAAGACTATGTACTCTCTGTGACAAGCAAGCCATAGAGGATGAATTTCATTTTGTTGTAGAATGCAACTTCTATAAAGATATCAGACTATCTATATTTAACATAGCTAAAATACAAGAAACAAATTTCACTGAATTTTCAAATTTTGCTGTATACATATGTAGATATTGTTAGTTATAATATTTTATTTTTGATTTTATTGATTGTATAATTTTAGGTGTCTTTTAGGCCAGTAATGGCCAGGTGTATTATGTACACATGACACATTAATAAAAAAATATTATTATTGAATTTCTATCAGGTTTTGGGCGGTCGGGCGGTAAACTTGATTTGGAATTGTTTAGAATGAAACATTTAAGATTTATTTATCAAAGCAAAATGCTAAAATATTCAGTTATCATGTTTAATGTGTTTGGTTTGGATGCTATTATCAAATAAGAATATGTGATTGATCACTTACAGACTTCAATGGTTTCACAAAAGGTACGACATTTCTCTTCTGACATGTTTGATTGTATTGCAGTCATTACATTTCCCCAAGACTCTGCACCAGTTTGATATATCGATTGTTACAACAGTGGAATTGCTATAAACGCATTGACGCGCGAAAGGGACGCGGTAACTGAGGAATTAAAACATTAACATAAATACAAAGGTTTTTTTAGATTCTTTTGAGATTTTAGGATACTGAGATACCGCCTTGTGTTATATGGCATAACGTGCTTAGTCAAAACATACACAGCCTCTGTTCCTTTTGGGACTTAAAACCAGCACCTGAGAACCTGTTGTGTTTACCTTGACACACCTTTTCTCTGGAATGAGTAAGATACACATTTGAAATGGAACTCGAAGTGTTCGGTGTGCTTTGATTCCATCATCTCCAGGACACGATGCTTGCCCATTGTTTAACTTAATTAAATGTTAATTACAATCTACAATTACCCCTTTGAATTCGTAGTTTGCTGTATAAACTTACTTTGATATTCCCAGTGGTACGTGAATGTTACTGAGTCTCTTGTGTGTCGGGGGCAGGACTGCCAAGTCGTCTAAGGCGCCGCGATTCGCTGTGCAGTGTTGCGTCCCTTGGGCACGCCAGAAACCTATGATTGTGGGTTCGAATCTCGGTTCGCCCCAATTGGAAATATTGGAAAATGTTCTCACAACTAGATGTTGCTGGCTTAGAAGCGGAGGTGATAGTAGACGTCGTTGCAGTCGTGGTCGCTGAAGCCAAGGTCAAGGTTGTTGATGGCGAACAAGCCGATGTAGTTGTCAAGGCCAACATGGTTGCTGTAGGAGTATCTGATGTAAAAGAAGAGGTTATGGATTAAACTGTTTCAGTGTTTTGTTCCTATCTGAATGGAAGTATTGTACAACTGGAACACATTTACCTTCAAAATGTTTTTGATCTTTTAATAATGCAGTAAATCGTTCCACTACCAAAAACTAGTCTTTAAGAACTTAATAGTTTATTAAGATATCATCCCAGTGTCATTTGGATTTGCAGGAAAACGGTAACAAATGTCTTTTCGAACTATCTTTGAGGAAATATTGGAAGATGTTCTCACAACTAGATCTTTCAGACTTGGTCGCTGAAGCCAAGGTCAAGGTTGTTGGAGGCGAACTCGCCGATGTGAATGTGAAGTCCGATTTGGTTGCCGTCGGAGTATCTGAAGGAGAGGTTGTGGATTACATTTTTTTTGTACTTTGAAACACATTTACCTTTGCAACTATTTGGATGCTCCTATCATGAAGTAAACTGTTCCACTACCAAATGTTGGACTTAAGTAGTTCATTACAGAAAATCAGGATACAATTAAGTATGATTCAAGCTGTTGCAGACTTGGTAGGAAAGATTAAAGTAGACGTACTTGGATACGAAGTAGCAGACGTAGTCGCTGCAGTCAAGGTCGAGGTTGTTGGAGGAGTTGTAGGTTTCGTGTTGGAAAGTGTTCTTGGAGACATTTTACCGCTACCGTTTGCTAAGTTGTGGTGGCTGTATTGACTGACGTATTTGTCGACATAGTTGGCGAAGTTGTGGTGGCTGTATTGACTGACGTATTTGTCGACATAGTTGGCGAAGTTGTGGTGGCTGTATTGACTGACGTATTTGTCGACATAGTTGGCGAAGTTGTGGTGGCTGTATTGACTGACGTATTTGTCGACATAGTTGGCGAAGTTGTGGTGGCTGTATTGACTGACGTATTTGTCGACATAGTTGGCGAAGTTGTGGTGGCTGTATTGACTGACGTATTTGTCGACATAGTTGGCGAAGTTGTGGTGGCTGTATTGACTGACGTATTTGTCGACATAGTTGGCGAAGTTGTGGTGGCTGTATTGACTGACGTATTTGTCGACATAGTTGGCGAAGTTGTGGTGGCTGTATTGACTGACGTATTTGTCGACATAGTTGGCGAAGTTATGGTGGCTGTATTGACTGACGTATTTGTCGACATAGTTGGCGAAGTTGTGGTGGCTGTATTGACTGACGTATTTGTCGACATAGTTGGCGAAGTTGTGGTGGCTGTATTGACTGACGTATTTGTCGACATAGTTGGCGAAGTTGTGGTGGCTGTATTGACTGACGTTTTTGTCGACATAGTTGGCGAAGTTGTGGTGGCTGTATTGACTGACGTATTTGTCGACATAGTTGGCGACGTTGTTGCTGAAATAGTGGCTGATGTTGTGAGATTATTACCGAAATAGTTCCAGTGGTTTTTTTAACTCACATGATATAATGGTGTCGTAATTATCCTAATAACTACAAGGGTATAAATTTAGATAGTGTATTCGGACAGATATTTGGAATAGTAAGTAACTGTAGTTTAAAAAACTTGTGCCGAAAATAATAAGACACTGTGTGAAGAACAAGCAGGTTTCTGCGATAGCATGTGTACGGTGTTATTGTGGGTAGGTTTTGATTGCACTATTGGAAAGCAGTGTAATTACCTCAATTCTATTTGAGTTGGCTGTTAAAATTCTTGATACATGTCGAAGAGTCATACAATCATTCCCTGATTTACATGAATATGCTCTGTTGCTGTTTCCTGACGATGTTATTTATTTCTGATTGAGCAAATGGGCTGAGTCAGCAAATGAATTATCCAGATGATTATTGTTCAGTTTGGAAATCCCAACCTATCGACAACTAAAACAACTTTCGGGTTGTTACAGTGAGTGAAATAACGTTATAGCAATAAAATGTCTCCCAAAATATTAGTGCCTTGGACTTTTGATGAATTGATGACTATCTTAAAAGTTATTTGCAGTGGCAGTTAAGAGTGGCTCATCTGGCTTAAAATAGGAAAACTCACAATGAAATATTTTAATATTGGTTTGGATATATATAAAAAACTCCGACTTTTCAAAATATTTAATGACAAAATTAAACCCGTTCTTCTTTATTGATGCGAACAAAGACATCAAAGATTAGAGATCACTGGAAGAGTCAAATATCTTACATGTAAATATTACTTTAGTTCAGGTTTTAACACTCCAAATGTGATGACGTTTGGGAAAATGTGGACGACATTCCTTTATAGCAGTTCGATAAAATACATTAAATACTGGCTACTTTATATGTAAACTATTAAACTTCCCCGTAAGGCATGTGAAATCAAACTAAATCTAAATTAGTAGGTAGACAGAACATGTCAAGTAATGTAAGACCTATTCTATTTATTCCATGTCTTAGCTATGCCTAGGTTTACCAATTTGTTGGATGCATAGGTAGTTTTCTTAACCGTTTTCAAGCCAGGTTGAAGTAATATCGACAAAACCGTTTCCATATTCAGAAGAAATATCTGCAGAGTCGCTTGAACGATTCCGGCTCTATCATATGATGATACCAGGTGTTCTCGACATGTACAGGAAACAAAAACAAGAAAGAAAAATATGTACAGCCCAGAATGAACTAATACGTTGTCATCTAGTGATCAGTCTGAATGTTGTACACTTTTTAAGATGCGCCTTGAACCAGAGTAATATTTAACATATTCGACTTTGTATACTTTGTTGATACCGTTAGACACCACAATATTAAAAAGTTGAATGATTATGCGCTTTTCGCGAACACCTTGGTGTCATCACTGACTTTCTGTGGTCCATTCATATATATTCACAGCTATTTTGTCTCTTAATCCGATGGTGTCACGTGCTTCGTCACGTCATTCTCTGACGTTGAAGTTTTATGGGTAACGTAAACAATATCGAAGATCTGAGTCATTTCACCTTCATACGTCGATCTTTAGAAAAACAATAGAAAGCAATACACGTCAAATATATATGTAATTCGACCTTCAGATCAACAATTTAATTGACTTATTGCAAAAACATAACGTTTAAGATTTAATACCTGACCTTCGTTTTATATTCAATTAAACATGTGAATCTATACAATGTATAGAATACACACGTGTATTTTGACCTATGGGTCTCCGTGCAGTACACATTTGATTTGAATTGAATTTAGTTGAATGAAACACACAAACTGAGGGCCAAAAGAAACTTTACGACTTTCAAAATGAAAAATACAATTTCAAATTGTATCAATGCAAAACACATCGTCCAAATACAACAATGCTGCACGCAGAAAGTGATACACGTCCATGGCACTTCTATTTTTGTAGAAATACGAAAAAGTCACGCCCACCCGAAAAGCCGAACCTTTTTTCTAATAAGGGTATATAAATATTACCGACGGCAAGTCGAAAAAAACACCACGACTGACACACGAACAACGCGAGCGGGCCCTGGGAGCCACCCAAGCTCCATTGATAGAACTTTTGGTTTCTCCCGTGTTGCTGTCACCTGATGCAGACAGACCGGCCTGACATAAGAAAGGTTAAGAAGAGGCAGGCCAAGGGTAGCTACGCCCAATGAAGGCCGGTACTTGCGTACTTTGCATCTCCGAAATCGATTCCTGTTAGTGGCTTCATCAGCGACAAATGCCTCAATGTATATGGTTAGTCAACAGACAGTGACCAGGCGTCTCACAGACTTTACTGAGGACAGTTATTGACAGCGCGACATCGTCGTCGGAGATTGAGATGGGCCAGGATCTCGTTAGCAGCGACGTGACTGGCAGGGGGTCGTCTTCACTTATGAACGTTATGTCTGTTCAGAGCTGATGTAAGGCAGCGTGTTTCCTGCCGAAGGGGAGAACGAACGGCGACATATTGCATTCAGGAGGTCGTGTCGCATGAATTTGTCGGTAGGAGAGAACACCATTGGTCATCGTTAGCGGACATTTGACAACTCAACGTTACATTGATTCACATTCTTCGTCCGATTGTCCTCCCATTTCTACAACAGCTGCCACGTGGTGTCCTTTATCAGCATGAAAATGCCAGAGCCCATACTGTGCAGGCCACAGTCTACGTGTTGCCGTGGCCTGCTCGCCCGCCCGACATGTCCCCCATAGAATATCTCTGTGATGTCATTGTCATTTTTCCACATCCTTCAGCCAACCGACAAGAACTGATCCAGGTCCTCCTAGAAGAATGGCGACGTAACACACGTGACGTCATCAGACTAATGACTTTTTCTGTGCGCCGACGAGTTGTTGCATGTTTTGTTGTAGGGGGTGGTCATACACGCTATTGATGTGACGTGTCGTTGATCTTGAGCGATGTTAGATGTGTGTGCTCTTTGTCTATTACATTTTTAAATGGTTTCGTTGAGATTTTTATCTTTTCAAAACATTTTACCCCATGCATATACCTGTTGTTGTTTTTAAACTAATGTGATTTAAAACTATTATAGTAAAGTTTATTTTGCTGTCAGTTTGTATCTTGGACCATTCCTCTAAGTTTTCCTCGATCATTCAGTGTCTTTGATCTCCATTCTATTGTGATACACTTTTCATAGTTAAAAGGAGACTTTACAAAATGGATAATCAAGGAGGATTTAACCTTGGATTGTGTGTACACTGTAAACGTTGCTAGCATATGTAATTAACACAGATTCTTAGTTTTAATTCTACAATAATAGTTACTTTTCATACTGAGAACAACCATCACAGCAATATTGATAATCAATCGCAAATGATTTTGAATAAACAGAAATTAATAACCAACCTGCTTGGAACAACATCGATGCTTGAAACAACCCTGCACTATATTTACGATGCCAAAACATAAGCCCTAAGTTGATTTTAAATGACTGTTTACCTTCATATGTATTTGTTTATTTACTCATTTATTTAATTATTTATTTAAATTATTGTAAAATACTCAGTGCTAATTACATTTTATGAACCGAAGTTAAAGAAAGTTTCCGAACTCAATTAGAGTTGAAATATGACTAAAGATGCACACTGACAATGATTTCAATGAGATCTCAGATCTGAAAGGAAAGCTATGACAGATATCCCAGAAGATTATACATTAAAGTTTCAAAAGTTTAAGTTCAATATTTGAAAAAGACAGCATTCTATTAAAAAAGGCGATGTTAAATAATCGCCATGCTTCCTGTCTGATATTGCAAGTTTTCCTAACCACCACTGTTTGATGCTGACATGGTTGCAGAATATTTAGTTTAATGTTAAGTTTACACGATATACGGCTTATCCATTGGACGAAAGGTCGATCACATGGCGTGAAGCTGACGTTCATAAGCATTCCTTGGCATGAAGAAATATAGAAGCTTTGATTCCGATCAGTTAACACTTTAATATTCAACTTCGCGTGTTTGAATACATGTGGAAAAAAAGTGTATTAAACTATACTGAACCAAATTAAAAACTTCACAATCCTAAATTTATTTATTTTTAACCAGTTATCATTGTGTGCCCTTATTGTGTATTTGACAGTAATGGCCACGTATTGTCTTCAGATAACACCTGTTTTTGTGCAGGTGAATCGATCAAAATCATGTGCACAGCACTATAGTGGCAAAAGTGTTTTTTCACGTGCAACTGGTCACGTGGCCATAATACCGCACGTGTTTTCAGCCATACTTGTTAGCAGTCATTAAAAAAAAACACACACAAGAAAACAAAAGTCTTAACGGCCATTTGTCATGCCACGCCTTTCAAATGTGCAACGTGAACGTGCCATCGGCATGTTGCAGACAGGAACGTCCGTAGCTGAAGTCGCAAGGACGATGGGTTGTAGTCGACGGACTGTTCATGATTTACAGACGCGTCTACAGCAAACGGGTACCACCGCTGATCGCCCTCGGCCAGGTCGACCACGTGTGACGTCACATGCAGAAGATCGTCAGATTGTCTTACGTCACCTCCGTATCCGATTTTTGACGGCTACATCAACCAGAAATGAACTGTTTAGGGGTAGACTGAGTGCGCAAACTGTTCGAAACCGTCTGAGAACTGCTCACCTTCAAGCACGACGGCCATACTGCGGGCCGATTCTGACTCAATTCCACAGACGTCAACGTCAATTGTGGGCACAGCGGCACTTACGATGGACTCAGAGGAATTGGAATCAAGTCGTCTTCAGTGATGAATCCCGATTTAATCTTCGATTTGCTGATGGTAGGGCGAGGGTGTGGATGCGCCGTCATGAACGTTACGCCCAGTGTTGTGTACAGGAAGTAGACAGATTTCGAGGCGGAAGTGTCATGGTGTTGGGTGCTTTCTGTGGCAATGCACGTTCCAGGCTTCTTGTCATCCGTGGCAACCTCAACGCTGCTACTTACTGCGACCAGGTACTGGCACCAGAACTTCTGCCTTTTATGGCAGCACATGGACCCGGTTTGATCTTCCAACACGACAATGCCAGACCCCACACAGCAATTTTGACAAGGAATTTCCTTTAGAATGCGAGAGTCAACGTCACGGACTGGCCCTCAAGGTCTCCCGGCCTCGATCCCATCGAACACGTCTGGGATGCTCTTGGCAGAAGTCTGCGCACTCTCCAGAACCAACCACAGAATTTGCAAGATCTTGGCACCATTTTGCAGCAACAATGGCGCCGTCTTCCCAAGCATGTGTTCACAAGCATCACAAGGTCCATGCGGAGGCGTTGTGTGGCAGTTGTCAATGCACATGCTGGCCATACACGCTACTGAACTTGTGTGCCATCAGATTCTCGTGCTTGGGACTTATGATTTAAACTGTTGATGTTATTACCGAATACCGTAGGTGCTTGGAACAAATTATGGTTACCACCGTTAATTAAAATCCTTCTTTGGACATTAATGATTAAAAATTACCTTCTCTGATACATTTGTCCGTTGTATATCATAAATGGGATTACTTTTAAAATGTGAAGTTTTTAATTTGACTCAGTATAAATTCACATGCAAACAATCTCCTCGATTCATTCCTAAAATGACAGTGACAGTGATCTACAACAATCTTTGAACTTACATCAGTATCTGGTCGTCACATATTTACAGGCACCTCTGACTGATTGGCCAGTTAATCAATGTTAACTGACACTTAATTGCCACAGGTTCATTGACACACACGTTGATCGTGTCGGCCATTTTGACGTTCTGTAATTGATGCAAATGTATAACGACGCACTGTCATTAATTTATATGGAAACGTAGTTCTTAGCAGACATTTCTCATCGTTATGACGAACTTTTCATTTCTGAGATAAAGCTGGTTGTTGTATGACTGCCAATGTCAACATGAAGTCACATGTACTTAATGAAATAGTGTCTTCATCCTTTGGGGTACAAGATAGGAACATAAAACATCATGAGAATTGACTTTTACTTTGTATGAATCAATTCTTAAATAGGTTTGAGATATATTTGCCGATGTTGCTGCCGACGGGTATTTTTTAGTTTTAACTTCAGTGCTGTTTTGACACACATCAGACTGGAATCAAATCGACCGTTTAAATTCTCATCTTTTCTGATAATGATTGAAGTGGCACATTATCAGCTGGTACTCACCCCTTGTTGTTACTGACGTCATAGGCGACGTAGATGTTGATGCAGTTGCAGTCCAAGTCGCTGAGATTGTTGGCGAAGTTGTATAAAACGTAGCATGTGATGTAGTGGACGAGGTTGTTCGAGGCGTTGTTGCTGATGTGGTTTGCAATTAGCAAATCGTAGCAACTTTAAGAAACACAGGTTTGATTGGGACAAATACAAGAGTGTTTTCCAACATCTGGAGCAAGCTAACTTTATGTTTTCAATAACATGACACAAGCAAACATTTGTATTTCAACAGATGCGTTATCTATTGATTCATTTGTTTTCTTTTACCTTGTCTAAAAATACACAAAATGTGTAACATGTTTCGTTTTATTGATTAAATATATACTGTTGATACTGCCAGCAGAGCCCTGTTTCAATATACGTTATGGCAAAGAACTTAGAGCCATGGAAAGTTCGCGCATCACCCTTTGTCCCGCATTTTACCTTCACACAATGAAAAACTTCCCGAAGTGATGCAGGTCTCAGACGTTTACCACTTCGGTGAAACCCACGATCACGGGTATGGTGCTGACAAACCTAGAAACATAATCGGGGCGAACCGGGATTCAAACCCACAATCATAGGTTTCTGTCGTGCCCAAGGGACGCAACTCTGCACAGCGACTAGGCCACCCGTGCCCCCACCTGATATGATGAGTATTCGGTGAAATTATCATTACGACTTTGCTCCTAAATGAAAGAATGGAATTGAGGTGGGAAGTGGATTCCACACATTATATTGCAAGACATTTGGCAAGATAAAAATGTGCGAAGTAGCATTTATTGTATCAAATCAAAACCAAATGTATCATACACTGCGAAAAACAGACTTTTCACCACCAAAACAATTATTTTGTTGTTTTACTGCAGCTTTTGTATCATAAGAAATACGACAAGCCTAGTCGCCTTTTACGGCAAGCATGGGTTGCGGAAGACCTATACTTCCGCGGATCTTCACGGGTCGGTAAGAAAGGGAGTCATAAGGCTAAATAAGGCTCAATGTCTGCCCCAAACAACCTATGGTGTAGTAATGGGCCTTGAAATGGAACGTGTTGTCAGGCGTTTTGACTGAATTGATTGCATCGTTACCCGATGGTTTGTCTGTTTCAGACTGGATTATTTAAATATCGCTTTCATATAGCTGGAATAGTGATGGGTGTGGCCCCAAGCAACCTATGGTGTAGTAATGGGCCTTGAAATGGAACGTGTTGTCAGGCGTTTTGACTGAATTGATTGCATCGTTACCCGATGGTGTTGGACGTTGTTCATTACATCAATCACTGGTTTGTCTGTTTCAGACTGGATTATTTAAATATCGCTTTCATATAGCTGGAATAGTGATGGGTGTGGCCCCAAGCAACCTATGGTGTAGTAATGGGCCTTGAAATGGAACGTGTTGTCAGGCGTTTTGACTGAATTGATTGCATCGTTACCCGATGGTGTTGGACGTTGTTCATTACATCAATCACTGGTTTGTCTGTTTCAGACTGGATTATTTAAATATCGCTTTCATATAGCTGGAATAGTGATGGGTGTGGCATTAAACAAGAAACAAACATCAGTCTGTGATCAGTCAGACGGGTATAAAATGGATAAGAGGACGTATCCCGATTTGAAGATGAAGCAATACAACATGCAGAACCTGGGACTCGAAACCAACTGTTCCCTATGACATCAAACATAACATCAAATACGGACCAGACAAACCACTGACTGACATCATGAGCATCGATCTACGCATTTGGTAAACGGTGGCAAGCATCAACCACGCCAACGACAATAACCACCCGATTCCGTTAATCGAATTTCACGACAAGTATTGGTCTGCTGAATGGGTTGTAAAGATTGTTGAAACTATCGACGGGTTGCACTTACATGTATCCTCAGGGGATGGCGACACATCGATCGTAAGGTAATACATGTATGTTTGTAGTTACCATCGACGTATTAGATGAAATAAAAGGAAAACATGAATAACTAAAGGTTTCTTAAAAACATCTTTTCAGAACTGTCGCAAGGGATGGGAAACAATTGACAATGTGTAGGGTAGGGATGGGAAACAAGTGATAGTGTGTAAGGTAGGGATAGGAAACAAATCACAATGTTTAGTTTGGGGATAGGAGACAAGTCACCATGTTTAGTGTGGGGATAAGAGACAAGTCACAATGTTTAGTGTGGGGATAGGAGACAAGTCACAATGTTTAGTATGGGGATAGGAGACACGTCACAATGTTTAGTATGGGGATAGGAGACAAGTCACCATGTTTAGTGTGGGGATAGGAGACAAGTAACAATGTTTAGTGTGGGGATAGGAGACAAGTAACAATGTTTAGTGTGGGGATAGGAGACAAGTAACAATGTTTAGTGTGGGGATAGGAGACAAGTCACCATGTTTAGTGTTGGGATAGGAGACAAGTCACAATGATTAATGTGGGGATAGGAGACAAGTCACCATTTTTAGTGTGGGGATAGGAGACAAGTAACAATGTTTAGTGTGGGGATAGGAGACAAGTCATCATGTTTAATGTGGGGATAGGATACAAGTCACAATGTTTAGTGTGGGGATAGGAGACAAGTCACAATGTTTAGTGTGGGGATAGGGGACAAGTAACAATGTTTAGTGTGGGGATAGGAGACAAGTAACAATGTTTAGTGTGGGGATAGGAGACAAGTCACAATGTTAAGTGTGGGGATCGGAGACAAGTAACAATGTTTAGTGTGGGATAGGAGACAAGTAACCATGTTTAGTGTGGATGGGAGACAAGTCACCATGTTTAGTGTGGGGATAGGAGACAAGTAACAATGTTTAGTGTGGGGATAGGAGACAAGTAACAATGTTTAGTGTGGGGATAAGAGACAAGTAACAATGTTTAGTGTGGGGATAGGAGACAAGTCACAATATTAATGTGGGAATAGGAGACAAGTCACAATGTTTAGTGTGGGGTGGTAAACACGTGACAATTTGACGCATCAGAGGGGAAAATATGTCCAATGCAATTCCCTATTTTGACTTGCTCCCGTGTATTTTCAGGTGAAACATTGACATTGTGTTTGTGAACACCTGCTATCATTACTGTATTTTAGTGTTTCTTAAACACATTGTCATGATATAGTCGGAATCGTACAATCCAGATGTCCTACGATTATGTATCTGCGATTTATTATATAATAGCAACTTCTTTATTCTTTGTGACGACGTTTCAGGATTACTACTCGCCAAGGTTAAAATGAAAATGTCTTGTAATCATGCCAAGCGAAAACTTAATTTTGAAAAGGAAAGACAGTGTTTTTCACTGTTTTACCTAAATTAGCATTAAAACCAAACTACTCTGGCATGGCATGTGATTTGTGGAATATACAGTTCACTTATACACGCTCGTTATTTCGTAGAAACTCCACAAGCCGAATGGCGACTACAAATATACCTTTAACAAAAAAGGAGGTACTTTCTTGCAAAAATAATGATAGTTCAGTTCAATTCAGTTTATTGTATCCAAGGCCTTTGGATCAAACACAATGATGCGTACTAAAGGTATAGGCAATATAGACATATAAAATAAGACCATCAGACATAACGTTAACTGATTATATATTGAATAACAAAAGTTCCTGTGACATTGAATAAGATTTAATGCAAAGTTATGTTTTTTACCAAATCTGAAACAATTTCGGATTGCAACAGATAAAAGACTACCGTAAGTGATCAACTGGTTTAATTTGCCATGCGGACTTTAGAAAATGCGTGATTTCATATTTTAAAAAAGGAACATGCTAAAATGTCAATTTACAAATCAATAGCGTGTGTGTCAACCTCTGGTTGCGATGCCAGCAACACATCTTCGTCTCATGGAATGGACCAGGCGTCTGGTGTGGGATATCTGTCCATATCTACTGGAGCATGTTTCGAAGTTCCTAGAGTGTCTGTGGAACACGTGGTTGACGTCGAAGGCGCCAACTATCTCATCCCACATGTGCTCGATTGGTGAGAGATCAGGGGAGCGAGTCGGCCAGGGGATGACATTCACGTTGTTTTGTTGAAGGGAATCCTGAACAAGTCGAGCAATATGAGGCCGGGCGTTGTCATGTTTAAAAGGTAATGCCTGGGCCATGACGACGCAAAAACAGTAGAACAACAGGGCCGATGATCTCGTCACGGTAGCGCTGTCCATTAAGATTTCCCTCTACCACTATCAAACGGGTCCTCTGTCTTGCTGTTATCCCACCCCATACCATAACGCTGCCGCCCCCGAACCGATCTTCTTCCATGACACAATGATTGACGTAACGTTCACCTCGACGTCGGTACACTCGAATCCGTCCATCGCCTTGGCTAAGATGAAAACGAGACTCGTTAGTGAATAGAACTTGTCCCAACTGCATGGCCGCCCAGCGTAGACGCTGTCTGCACCACTGTAAACGTGCTTGACGGTGGTTTCCTGTCAAAATGGGACGTCTGGCGGGTCTTCTGGCGATAATCCCTGCACATCTGAGGCGACGACGTACGGTTTGTGAAGATATTCGTCAAAAGGCCAGGGATGCTTCTTGCAGTCACTGTTGCTGGCTGGAATCGATTTCGTAGGTGTGTTGTTCGAATCCAGTTGTCTTGTCGATTATTGGTTACGCGTGGCCTGCCACTCCGAGGATGGTCTCTGACTGCATTCATCTGTTGCCAACGTTGCAATAAACACCAAATGGTGTTTCTGTGGACGTTAAATTGTCTTGCAACATCACGTTGACTCGATCCTGCTTCAAGCATACCAATGGCTCGCAGACGCTCATTTTCGGACAGGCGTGGCATTTCGTAATGTTGAATAATTGCGTATTTTTGTTGTTTTTCTGAGTGGTTGTTGTCAGCACGATGCAAAACAATGCATATGGAATCCCGTTAACGCACATATTTTTATACCCATTCTTGGGTAGTCAAATGCATGGGGCTTGCATAAAAAGTCAACTTTGGCATGGAATGCATGCTTTTCTGTAGGAATTGACCGACAGGTACTACAATATTGAAAACCAAACTTTACTTGTTTGAAAAATACATTAAAATATTGGTCACAAGAACTTTTGTTGTTGAGTATTGATTGACTGATAATAGAGGAGGGGTTTTAAACTCTCGTGAGCTTTTCTTCAACAGATAATGGCTTTCGCAAATTACAAATATATTGAAAGTACAGTAAACTACGTTTATAACGAACACGCTTATACCGAACAGACGGATATAACGAACTGTTTGGGGGTCCCGTCCATTTGCTGTATAACTATATATGACGCCTCACACGTATGTTACTGAAGCACAAAGGTTTCTACACAGCCTTTTCTTAGACATAGCCCATCATATGTCTGTAACAGTTACTAAATTGTCAGCTGTTGGAGAGGCTCGGGTCCCAGAAGGCCAGACATTGTTGGGCTGCACTATCAACGTCCGGTTCTTCCAGAATAT